AAATGCATGCAAACTGTCCACTGTATACCGTGCCTTCCCTGAGATATGAACGTTTTCATAATCCAGTCAACTATCTGGAGAAAGTGAGAGAGAGTAATCAGTTTTGTTTGACACTGATTTTCGCTCGAAATGAATCTGTCAGTTGTTCTTCATGCACCACTTTTCAGTATAGTCCGTAGTAACAAGCAGTAAGTATCTTATTGGGTTCGATGTCATAAAAGTTACCAGTGCTAGTATTTTTCTTGGTCACTATTTATATAATAAGGATTTTAACTACAAGATTATTTTTATTATTATTTATTTACAAATAAAAAGTTGAGAATGAAATTTAAATAAACAAATATTAGTGTATTCCATTATTTTAATGATTCCACATTTATTTGACTGACAGTAACCAACTTACTGTAGGATTGTGATAAAAAGAGAAAGATATATCAGTTATTTAGATCTATCTATGTTAGTTTGTATATTTCGTACAATTAATTCATATATTAAAATATATAAATCTAACAATGAAAAATAATTTACTAGTCATCCATTATAATACTCAATTGTAACTGATGTAAAACTAATAGATATTTGATACCTATACGATTTTTTATATACAAATTATTGATTAAATACTGAAATATTCCAACACTGGGAATTTGGGTCGATAGCATTCGATCTACACTAAGAAGGACTTAACACACATGGCATTGATCACCACTCAGTGATCAATTAATTATCATTACATCTCAGTCCTACAGGAGGTCGACTGCGACCCGGATAACTCAGTGGTAACGTCTCTGACTATAAGTCAGGGTGACAAGGGATCGAACCAGTCAGGGAGCACCAGTTCCCTCAAGGTTGCAGGTATACCTTGCTGAAGAGTGCCAAGTAGCACGAAACCCCTGTCCAAAATTTCGTCCTGACTACCTTCAACTACTATCTTATCTCAACATAGTGCACGCAATGTCTAGTCACCTAGACTGGTAACCACATTACAACCTGGTCGATAACATTCGATCTACACTAATAACGACTTGACACACATGACATTGGTCACCACCCAATGATCAATCAATTGTGACTAGTCTGTATATTTCTTGCAATTAATTCATATATTAAAATATATAAATCTATCAATCAAAAATAGTTTACAAGTCATCGATTATAATACTCAATTGTAATTGGTGTAAAACTGTTAGATATTTGATACCTATACGATTTTTTGTATACAAAGTACTGATTAAATATTGAAATATTCCAAAATTGGGAATGTTTAACATTACAGAATGATCAAATCTCATTGATTGATAAATGTGAAATAATAATTATTTTGTACATAACAAAGAAAAATAATTATGTAATAATAGAATAAAATGGTGGTGAAATTTTGTAGCTACCTGAAGTTTGTACTGACAATGTCATTCAGAAGAACAATGATTGTTCCATGACTAAACCATCCAGCTCAAAGAACAAAATTCCATTAGAATATAATAAAATAAGTCAATGATGATATTAAATAGAACTCTTTGAAACAAAATGAAACCTGTATTTTTTTTCTATATATCTAAAGTTAAATGAAGTGATATATCATTATTCATAGAATAATTAGCTAGATAAACATGTTTCTAACCATTTCTATTTCTTTTTAAAAAGATGAGATCTACCAATTATGTTTTTGCATACATAATTCTTGTCAAACATTCTAATGAATTAACGATTATATTCTGGAAAATGTTTAAAAACAAAGAGATACTCTTGTACATCATATAGAAGATATTTAAATCAATAATAGTGGACTAAGTTTATTAATCATGTTAAAATGAAGAATTTAACTGATACACTCGAATTGAATAAATGAGCGATATTAAATAACAACTAATGAGAGGGGAAAAATAAACTTTGAATTTAATATATAAAATCGTTTCTTCTACTTTCGATTGTCAGCAAAAGGCTTGGATATTAATGATCGTAATGAATTGTTTATACTATACAATTGTCTCAAAAATATGAAATAATAAGTTCATTTTTAAATGTCATATAAAACATTATTTCATTTATTTGACTGATTGGTATTTATTTCCATACGTTTTGTAACTGTAAGCACTTATCTAAAGTAGAATCGTCAACTTTAATGATATTCAATTCCCATAAACTAATGTATTTAGAATGTAAGTCATTATCTAAAGCGGCCTGCTTGAATATCTGGGCTTAACCACTAAACCACTGAGCCGGTATCCAACTGTGTCAAGTTCTAATTTCAACCAATCCAAAAGATTAAGCTACATATCCATCATGTTATTAGTCAATAACGAATGAATCACATATATCCTTATTGTATATTTAGCTAAAAATATAAATTAAATATTGAAAACAATAATAAAGATTCAAATCATTTTTCGTAAATGAAATACCAATATACTTGAATCAATCCTTCTTTTCTCATAATTATTGTTAGCCAGTTACTATGGAATTCAATTATTTATATATAGTAAATATCAAGCTGTAATTATGTAGTAGTATACTAAATTCGTATAGTACTTAATATTTCATTTAAAAAGAATGAAATATCACAGAATCATTGAAACACTCAATTACCTAAGTAATAATAAACATTTCACAATCAATTTAAAAAATGTAAAACCATTCACATTCATTCAATTTACAATAATGATAAATCTATTGAACAATGTATATTACAAAGAAAATTAAATGACAAATGTGCACATTGTTTTTCCTTTAACTACGATCAAATAGATTAGGTAAATAATTAAAAGCTTTCTAAACTAATTAAAGTTATTTCATTCGATAAAATCTAGTTAGTTCATGCACGCCCATTATTATTACTTAAAAATAAATATGTAATACTTCACTATTGTTTGACAATTGAAGATCATACAGAAATCAAAACGACTATCTGTCAACCAATATCAAAGTCACAATCTTCAATACGAACATCAAGATATTTCTAATGTATGGAGTGGAAACTTCGAGAAATACTACAACCATCATCAAGAACGTACAAGTATTTATAAATAGTTGTCTACACAAGATACTCAATGTCCGTTGACTGGACATCATGAACAACAGCCAACTGTGAGAGAGAACAAACAAGCTTGCAACTAAGTAGGAAATTAGGACAAGATATCGGAAGTGGATAGAACATACATTTTAGAGATCACCAAACTGCATCACTAGGCATTCGCTGAATTGTAATGCTGGAGAGAAGCGGAAAGTGGAATGCCAAAGAACACATTACGTCGAGAAACAGAAGCAGATATGAAAAAGATGAATAACAAGCTGAAAGATTTGGGGAGGATTTTCACGGACAGGGTTGGATGGAGAGTGCTAGTGAGCGGTTCATGCTCCTCCACGAGTAGTAACCGGCGTAAGTAAGTAATTGTTTGATAAGTTCTATATGCTTAAATGACAAAATACTATATGGGACAGATTATTGAATATGTACACTTGAAAATATTTCTTAAATGTCAATGGATCACTAACAAATATAACAAATAAATCTTATTTAGATCAATTGTTTTTTAGTTTTTATTATCAAGAATTAAAATGATTGACATTTATACCAATTACCTTAATATATATAAATTAAGTAAATGAAGGTTAATCATTAAACGATCACTGTCTTCTTTGAAGTGGTTGTATGAATACAGAGACAAAACGCTACGTCAAATGTTTAACATAATATCTCCTATATAAACTAATTCGAAGAATTTATGATCGGTTATCGTAAACACTAAATTAAGATATTCACTAGCAGAATTGATCAATTACCGATAGCTTTCTAAATTTGAATATAAAAACTAGTTTTCACTAATTTTCAGTGTGTTTCGTTTCTACATTTGAATCTCATGGTATGTAACATACAGATATGATTCAATGAGAGACTAACTACTCATAATAATTTCTCATTTAAATAGATAGTATATCAGACACCATCAATCTTTCCTAAAATATCTCTACGCAAATATAATTGCTTATCTTACTATGATCTTAATTTCTCAATATATAATTTACATCTCTTTATTACATTTTCATTTTCAGAAAGGCGTTTCGTGGAGATTTTCAAAAATTTCAATAGCTGAACTCATGAGTCGATTGATGCTAGACCACTATGGAAAACCTGGAAGCACTGGACGGCCGTTTCGTCCCAGTATGAGACTCCTCAAAAGTGCGCATCCACGATCCTTCCCCTCAAAAGATTCCAACCCAAGGACCTATCAATCCTGTGGAGTGGTTGCAGTTAGACGGCTAGTGGTTAAGCGCTCGTGCGCGAGACTAATAGGCTCTAGGTTCAAATCTCGCGATGCGTGATCGTGGATGCGCACTGATGAGGAGTCCCATACTGGGATGAAACGGCCATCCAATTCTTTCAATTTTTCCATGGTAGTCTAGCTTTAATTGACTCATGATTTCAAACACTAACATTTTCATTTTCTTGTAATAAAAAACGTATATGATTCAACGTATTGTCCCTAAAATAAAACTTTCAAGATAATAAATATTTAATTTACAAATGAAAGCTTGCCTAATAATTTAATTTATAGAATTAACTGAAAGATCATTTTGCTGATTAACAACAAATATAACACTTCAATAGAATTATTAATTACCAACAAACTGTAAACAATTAAATATAATATCAATTGATTAGTAACTGTGTGTATATAAATTAACTTAGTAAAATGATTTTATTGGGTTCATTTTTGTAATCTTTAGAATATTGATAATATTACTGTCAACTGAATATAGTATGTACAATCAACTAAACATCATATGATCTTGTTGGAGGGTTAGATTAATTCCTTAATTCATTTCAAATAGTTCTATTTTGATTTGTTTTTGTTGTTGATAAAACAAACAAACTGGTTCAAACACCAAGTGCTGGTAAAAATAGATTAACATAATTATGTAAGAAAAAAATTTCAGAAATTATCGTATAAAAGTTCATTCTAACATAAGATTTTAATGAGATCAATATAATTTTCACTTACGCCAATAAATACATTTGGAACTCGAGTACAAAATCCACATATTGCATTATTCCAAAACCACATGTTCATTTATTGATAAATGTAATAATGTTATCAATAAATTTATTATTGAAATTTCATGTTTTTCATGAAATACGTATTACATTATTATTATTATTATTATTATTATTAGAATAATACTTATCCATATTAAATAAAATATCCTTTAGGTAAAATCACTTTTTGTCTTTCTGAATCAGTTTTTTTTAATATTTAAAATTTTTTGATAAATTTTTAACCATTTGAAATAATCTCATTGGATCAAACAAACTGACCAATCATAAACGAATCAAAATATAATTTGTGAAAAAAAACTTTTTTTTCATACTTAACAAATTTATTTGTTTATTTCAGAAAAATTAGTCCTATTTTAAATTATAAGCACAAATGATTTTAATTGGTTGTTTCATTAGAAATATTTAAAGTGAAAATAATCTGGAGTTTATATTTAAATGTATTCAATACTTGATTCTTTTGTATGTTGTCGTCAATTGACTTACTTACTTACGTACATTAGCCTCGTCGAGGAGCATAAGCCACCCACCAACACTCTCCATCCAACTCTGTCATGGCAAATCCTTTCCAACTATTTCCACTTATTATTCATTCTTTTCATATCTGCTTCGATTTCTCGACGTAATGTGTTCTTTGGCATTCCACTTTCCGCTTCTCTCCAGCATTACAATTCAGCGAATGCCTAGTGATGCAGTTTGGTGATCTCTAAAATGTATGTTCTATCCACTTCCGATATCTTGTCCTAATTTCCTACTAAGTTGCAAGCTTGTTTGTTCTCTCTCACAGTTGGCTGTTGTTCATGATGTCCAGTCAACGGATATTAAGTATCATGCGTAGACAACTATTTATAAATACTTGTACGTTCTTGATGATGGTTGTAGTATTTCTCGAAGTTTCCACTCCATACATTAGAAATATCTTGATGTTCGTATTGAAGGTTGTGATTTTGATATTGGTTGAAAGGTTTCGTGAGTGTCATTTGATAATTTACTGATAATATACAATAGGGAATTCTACTAGATTGTTTACTGGTGCTCAAGTAATAAGTATTCGTTCGTAAATGTATACTTATGTCTAATATGTCCTACTTACTTTTGCTAATGTAAAAAACTTCAAAAACATCAAAAAGATATTTTTGTCATATTATCCATCTATATATCACTAATAAAGTCATAACATATATTGTGTGTACAATTTAAAGTATCTATTAGTTACGAACGTAGTTTTGTAATGCATCTTACTAAATTATAAAACTTGAGTATAAGGATAATTACTGATTCTTGACTCCATCTAATCACTGCTAACATACTGTGGAACCTTTGCTGAATAATTCGAAAATTATATGTATGTTACTCTTCAAAAACACTAAGTTGATCATTACGGGTTTTTACGTTGTGTTCAGCAGAGAATCAGAATGGAAGAAGGCTAGGTGAAGAAATATGAATATATAGCATAAATTCATGACTGTTAGACTCCACTTTGCGATGAATTACAAAACGTCTCTCGTCCCTCCATCAAACATTTCAGATGTAAGTGCCAGTTCGATAAGTAACAATCAGTTAGAATCTTGATATACTCATTTCATATTTTATAACTGCAGTGAAGGTGATATCTTATCTATAAAACCCTTATAACATTTTCGTCAATTCAGAAAGCATTAGTGGCGTCTTTTTATCAATCAAAAGAATTTTAAAGGTAGTTTTATTCTCATACAGAATTCAGCTGACGATAATTTATAAGTTCTCGGGCACTAAACCGTTCATTCGTCATACATTACGACTACTCAGTGATAAACATGTTAGTTTACATGGTTTGTGAAATATGTCTAGGTTAATAAATTATTATTCAATCTTACACAGTCGGTGGCCTGCTTTAATTATCTGGGCTACCTGTCCGTATCATCAAAATGTTTCAATAATTTATCAGTTTCCCTGTTTGTTTTAACAGATCACTATGTCAATTAATTGCATAATCTATTCAGATGCGTTTGTGAAATGTTTACAACCATTCGCTGTACAAGTTACAAAAATTTGTAATTGTAGACATCGTGATAGCTTACAATGTGCGCTGATAAGAAATAATATTATTCAGATGTCGACTTCTGAAATGCTTATATCTAATTGGCGATCACTCAGTATTTTTCGTCAGGATCGATCAAGAAATAAGAAACAGAAACTAGCTGAAATACGTTTTGCTGAGAATTCAATAAGTACCAAAAATATAATATCAGATGAAGCTAATAATAATAAACTCAGTAAGCTTGAGATAATGCCAGCGACATTCACAGATATTAACAAAAAACGTTCGCCCTCCCAATAGTGCTGATACTACAGGTTATGGCTTCTCACAAGAGAATACGTAGGTTCGTCTCAAACCCACTCAACAGTTAATACAATGCATTTATATACTTCATTTTTACAAGATGACATGAAATTAAAAACCATTGTTAATAAGATAACATCAAATTCTAATTCATGTTGTTAGAATCCAATTACACGAAAAGTATTAAAATTAATAATTTCAAACCCCTGCGTTATGCTGTGCTCACCTTCAAGTTAAATAAATTCCCGTGACCCTTCTTACTAAAAGAGGCATGCCCTAACTTCGAATCCTGAAGGGAAGCGAAAAAGAAGAAGGTCAAATAACACATTACTTCGGGAAATAGAGGCCAATATAAAGAAGATAAATAACAATTGCAAAAAGCTGCAAAGGACTGTCCAGCACAGGATTAGATGGAGAATGGTGGTAGGCGGCCTATGCTCCTCCACGAGAAGTAACAAGCGTAAGTGAGTAAGTTCTTACTAAAATAGAGTTAATAAATTTCAAGAATACGTCAAAAGTCTTCATCTCTTCAAAATGACTAGGCTTTCATTCATTGCAGTTTACAGGTAGTAATAAACGAATCACAAATAATCGACTGACTGGCACACAAATAAGAGTGACCCATTAGTTACATGAACGTTAGCCACCAAAAGTAAAAAGTCAACAAGATCACGCGAAGAAAGTAATTTGGAAGAATTCAAAACAAAATCCAAATGTTAACTTTATAAACTAGTGAATTAATGAAGTCATCCATGCTACAGCTAATGAAAACTCTTTACGATTAATTAAATGCATATGTAAAATGACTATTAGCCTTTACTTTAATGGTATATGGTATATCATGATCGTTATGAGAATTACCAGCCTTAAACTAATCCTTGTTTAAATCTAAAACATTATTTGATGAGTAGTTTCAATTGTAGACATGTTCCTCAATTACTAGCAGGTTTTTAGTTAATAACCAGTTTGATATGAAAATTCATTTGATCTTATTCATTGAGGTAAATGTAAATATTTCATGAACGCTACCAGTCGTTGGAAATCATAACGAACAAGTAACTAACTCAGCCCAATCACATGATTTAAACTAAACATATAAACAACAGACGACAGACGTCGTTTAACCACTGGCCAACAACAGAAATTAATTTGTTACTTATAATCTAATTTAATAGTAATAACTCAACCTCCCCCTTAAAAAACTGAAATAAAGGAATTTCTACACTCAAACACATTCAAAGCACTTTCATCATAAACCTTACTGGTACTTTTCTTTTAAACAAACTGTTAGTAATTAATGTCATTCAAACTATCAATATTAACTAAACTATATATATATATATATCACAAAATCACGTATTTCGCTACACTTCACAACTACAAAGAGCAAGTATCCAGTTTGTTTATTTGTGACTGTTTTTTTTGGATTCACCTAGCCTTTTGTCTTATCAATAGTTTACTTAATTCTATAGTGCTTATATAAGTATGTCTGAATGAACAAATAGATAAGTATATCACATAATAGTGTTCCATTAATTATTTATCATCTATACAAGTAAACAGAAAAAGAAATAGTAACTAAAAATGACTATAATACTAATAATAGTGATATTTCTCTCATGAATTTATCAATTATTCTAACGAAAGCCAAACATCAAATCATAAATGAAGTTATATTGACGAAAGCAGAAAAAATCATTCATATCATTTGATGACATATAAACTTTATGTGTAAAATAAAAGGGATTGTTTTTATGAATAGTCAAATGAACACTTAAACAATATAAACAATTAATTATCTCATTTGTTTTCTAAAACGGAAAGATTAAAAATCTGATGTAATGAAATAAATAATAGCGGAACACTACATTATTTTTTAAACGATATTACACTTGAGATGGTGGAGATTTGTAGCTCGGGTGGATGATTTTGATGGAGTTTTGTTCTCTTAGCTGGATGGTTTGGTCGTGGAGCTTTCATCGTTCTTCTGAACGACATCATCAGCACAAACTTCACGAACTTCAGATAGAAGTGTTTGGTTTGGTGTTCTCCGTGTTGTATTTGAGGCCTTTGGTTTTCCCCTTTTGTATGTTGAGGCCTACTGATGCCTGATAACTCTTAATGGACTAATATTATATATATATATATATATATATATATATATATATATATATATATATATATATATATATATTCTTATTGTATAACTATTCAGTAATCAGATTATAAATATTTGTATTCCTCTTATTATAGGCTACATTCTGACGTATAATTTATTATTATACAATTTACTGTTCTTAAGTTATGTTCGCTTTATTGATTACAGTCTCCCATGTTCACTGCCACTTTTGGCTTGATCTTATATAAATGTTATTTCCTATTTTGTGGTATGACGTGGTCTGGCTGGCTTGTTTAGAAACCAAGTATGTTTGAAGTAAATGATTCGCATAATGGGAGCTGTTATTGGCGTTCTCGGCTCAACTGGATGGGCTAGGCGAAAAAATGACCAATAAGGACGCTAGGCTACTCATACTGGTCGAATATCATTGGTTTGCAACAGTACCAAGATTAAATCAGTCGTATTTCGATTGGCGAATAAATCACGTGATTACTAGCGAGACTTAAACACTTAAACAATATTGATAAATATTATCACCTAAATACACCATTTAGATAAATTACTTAACTTTTATTCTTGAATAACTACGATGATTTTTTTCCAAAAACAATGGTGAATGTTAGTTCAACTTATCTCATTCGTTTCTATATGGTTGTATTAAATCTATGTT